GACGTATTTCAGTGTTTGATTAGCAATTTTAATGTTTACAATTGTTTACACCCCTCCAGCACTCATATAATGCTCAGTGTTATGATCCTGTGCTTGTGTTTTCCAAACACCTTTGTTCATGTAATCCTCTCCTGAAGCATGCACCACCTCTGGGAATTCCACCAGTGCTGCAAAGCCTAGTAAAACCTTCCTCTTTCATAAGACCCTCTGATCATGTGACTTTAAAAACAAGCATACCTGTTTCCCATCTTTAGAGGTAATGACTTGATCACATACTACAGACACACACTACAGTGTGACTTGATCTCTGGGAATTTCCAAAGCTCCCAGGTCATTCTAAGGGCTGCCATAGTTGAAAAGCACTACTAGTTTAACATTTGTTCACTATTTATTATCTGACTGGCATTGTTCTAAGTGCTTTATATAGTTGAACTCAAGAGCCATAATAAGCTCAGGAAGTAGACACTATCATAATCTCCACTTAACAGTTAGGGAAACAACCTGTGGTGATTTAAAAGTGTTTACAAAGTATGACACTTCTTCCTCTAAAATATGGCACCTAATTCTCCTCTCCTCAAATACAGACCAGATTGATCACTTGCTCCTAATGAATAGAATGTGTAACAAATGAAGGCTAGGGACTAGGTCATAGAGAGGATTTTTATAGTTTTTACCTCTCTCACATTACTTTTGTACCTTCAAGTATTGGCTATCTATTACTCCAAAATAATTAATATAAAATTTAGTTGCTTAATTTTCTCAGTTACTCTAGGTTAGGAATTCCAGTGTGATTTATCCAGGCAATAAGGATACAAGATCTCTCAGGAAATTGCTGTCAGGAGATTGGCAAGGGCTGCAGTCCTCAAAGTCTTCACTGCACCAGAGGATATGTTTCCAATGTGGGTCCTTCACATAGCTGGCAACTTAGTACTGGCTCTTAGTGAGAGGCATTTGATCTTTTCTATGCAGGCCTCTCCAGAGAGCTGCTTGCTAACTTCTCACAATGATTTCCCTCTCTTGACTTCTATTACTTTTACTAATAGACCAATTGAATTGAAATCAATGAATTGTATTCTGAGGTATCTATCAAAAGAACACAGAAGCAGTTATCCAAAGGGAAACATGCATTCCCATGTTCACTGCAGCACTATTTACAATATCCAAGTTATAAAAACAAAATAGGTACCCAAATACAGATGAGTGGATCAGGAAGAGGTGCTTTATATACACAAGGGAATACTACAGGTTGTCAATAAAGATAAACTGTTGCCATGTGCAGCAACATGGATGAAACTGGAAGAGAGTGTGCTAGGAGGGAAAAAGATGAAAACAGGATGATTTTACTTACATGTGGAATATAGAGAAACTGTTTACAAAGAGTCACATTAATGCCAAACTAAGAACTAAATCTACACAGCTGACTATAGAATTGAGGCTACTAGCAAGGGAGTGGAAGGAACAAAAACAAAGTCAGGAGGAAGCACAATGGACTATGGTGGTGGACTACGGGTATTTTGGTGGTGGATGGTGGTGGGGGTGATCCTATACTAGAAGAGGGGGGATCCTAAACTTCTAAAATACAAACAACAATGTATGCCAATGTGATCTCAATTAAAGAAAATCTGTATATTTCTACTAAAAATGGTAAATTTTATATATACATACTTTGCCACAACTAAAAAAAATTCTACTACCAACTATTTATGGAGTATAGGTTCTTTAGCCCATGATCTACATATTTCCCCCAGTGTTCTGCACTCATTATTTGTCCATTAAAACACTAACATGGCATTGCCTATATTGTTTCTGTGAGTTTTTTTCTTAAAAAAATTATTGCTGGTAGATAAATATTAATTCCTTAGCCTAACATTCAAGACCCAGTCTTAGCCTACATTTGTGATTATACTTTTTGCTCATCTCCTATTGTATGGACATCTCTCTCAGACAATTTCTGTCTTATGCAGATATATTACCCTATGCAGATATACTGGTTTGCTAACAAAAAAAAAAAAAAAAAAAAAAAAGACAACAACAAAAACTCAAGCTTTAGATGCCAGGCAAGTGTAAGGTTATAAAAATTATAAATATTTGTTATAAAAGTGAAAGAATCTAAAAGGTGTTCTATACTGAGGGTGTGGAAGTGATGATCTATAGCAGCAAGGATGCTCGTGGGCAGTGTTTAGATGATTCTTAGTGGCAGTCTGGTTTAGCATCAATATCTGCAAAAATACTTAGCTGGGGTTCCAGAATTTCATCCTATAAAGCATGGAAGAGAAATTTTGACTAAAAAAAATTTTAAGCATATTTGATTATGAGATAGCTTGCTCTTTACACAAGATATAATTTGAAGTTCAGGCCCTAACAGCATTAAAAGAAAAAGGAATCTGGCATAGAGTTGCAACAGAATTAAAATAATAATAATAATAATAAAGAAAGCAAGGTAGACTTTACTAAGGAAATCATATCAAAACAAATTTATATCAATTTTAGTTTACGAAGGTAATGAGACTGCTTTTAATAAGTTTGTTACCCTCAACTTTTGGTGATCAGTTGCTGGGAGAATACCACATATGGATAAACCAATAGAAGTACAATCCATTTTTAAATTTTTCTATCAGAATTATTAAAGAGAGAAGTTTATCATATAAAGTTTACATAATCCGACAACTAAAATATAATATTTTATTGCTTCACTTAACAACTAACATAAGTAGTAGGTAGTCTATTAGCACTTTATAGAGTGTCTCAGATTTAGCCCCAGGGGTTTTTAATGAATGAAAGAATAATACTAATAAAACAAATATTACTTTCTCTGCTTCAGTCAGAATTTACTAGTATATAATTACGTATCTCTAGAGGATGGCTATAAAACAGACTCAATTTTACAATGATACTGCCTACTTTTTAATATGTGTATCAACTTTTTGGCCACCAAGGAAACATGTCAGGAAAGAAGATAATTTACACAGACCTAAATTAAAAATTTACTATAATGAAATATTAACAAAAATAACAATAATTTCATTACCCAATGAAATTACTATTTTATAGCAAAAGGTTATTATAATGTAAATGTTAACAAAAATAATAACAGTATGATCTCATTAGCCAGTGAAATACTATTCTAGAAACTATGATAAGAGTTTTTAGAATTCACAAATATTAATATTATTAATACAAATATTAATATCCATTTCTCAATATTTAAATGTAATATTAAGGATATAAAGATTCTTGGTAATTTTATTTTTTTTTTAATTTTAAGTAATTTTATTTACTTATACAAGCACTGGGTACAGTCAGAAGCGCGGGAGGGTGAGAGAATTCACCAGAGCGAGAGCGGGGAGCAGAACAGGCAGAAGGACCGAAGTACACTGCTGAGGGGAGCAGCGGGCGGCAGGAGAGGTCTGCGTGCCATGTGGGACCCTCGCCTGGCAGCCGGGGATGGAACCGGCACTCCAGAGGCTGCGGGCAGCTTCGCAACCCAGCACTCAACAGCTGCGCCACCGGGGAGGCCCGATTCTTGGTAATTCTAAATACTTTTTACCGGGGCTTCCCCGGTGGCGCAGTGGTTGAGCGCTGGGTTGCGAAGCTGCCGGCGACCTCTGCGGCGCCGGTTCGATCCCCGGCTGCTCCCCGGCCACCAGAGGAGGGTCCCACATGGTGCGCAGACCTCTCCTGCCGCCCGCTGCCCCCCTCAGCAGTGTGCTTCGGTCCTTCTGCCTGCTCTGCTCCCCGCTCTGGCTCTGGTGAATTCTCTCACCCTCCCGCGCTTCTGACTGTACCCAGTGCATGTATAAACAAAACAAACAAATAAATAAATAAAATAAAACATGCCTCTAAAAAAAAAAAAAAATATAAATACTTTTTACCAAACATTTTGTGTTAAACACACAATATTTAAATATTCAACTGCTTTCCTAGCAATTATTTTATAGTGATTTTTAGGAGTTTATGTTTACCTTCCTATCTCCATGACATGGATAAAATATTCCTAGTAAGAATCATTTAAATAGAAGCAACAGTTACCTCCTTGAAATACACCTGAAAACATGAAAAACTTCAATTTCCAATGAATGGTCCTCCAACTTACGTCATTTACCAAATGTCAGTTATTGATATAGAAAGTTTAAAAGTCCTGTCAATAACCAAAACCAACACACATTTCAGCAATTTTTGTTTTCATGTATTGTCAATAGTATACAATATAGAACGTGACGGTCTCACATATCTTATTATTTAGTAACTACATATGAACAATTATATCACTGCTTCAAAAGGAATGTAGTTTTAAGTCACATTCTTCTTCATCTGGCAACTCACACTCATATACATTTTTCCCTTTTCATGCTAACTTGGCAAAAATAAATAATAATTGAAAACTTATTTCAAGAAAAGAATGACTATTCTTAGTTCAGTCCCCTTTTATTGCATTTAGGTGGGAAAACTCAAAAATTATGTCTATAACTAATTATTACACTTAATAATGAATTTTTTCACTTAAAATCACTTCATACTACAATAAAAAATCAATTTTTACCTCATACAATGATTACAGTTATTTTAGGACTCAATCTTGTTCATGAGAATATGAAAACACACCAGGTGACCTTTCAGTCTCAAAGATCACTATCCAAATACAATATACTCAATATTTCCTACATAAAATTTGATGTTTTATTCTCAACTCCTTCTGAGGCATTCACTAGTCAGTAAAGAATTTCTCTGACCCAAAAGAATCAGAGATTTTAAAAATGATGGTATTGAAATATTCATACATAATTGGTCCTAAAAATTCATTTTCATAATGGTATTCATAATCAGTTTAATATAATTTTAGAGAAGATGAGTGCCTAGAGTAAAATAGCAAGATGGTGACTATAAAGAAGCACAAATAATTAAAACTTATTTCAATATTTAAAATGTAGAGAATTAATATTTAAGTGTTTATTTTTAACTGAAAAATAATTTCAATTCCTAAAAGGATTTACTGTACTTACCCCGAAGTACCTGAATGAATCGAGGTTGTAAAGCTGAGGTGATCACACTCTCTGGCAGCTCCCTCAGGAACAGTTTTAACAGACTGGCCGCTGAGCTGACATCACCATCTTTGTCCAGCTCCACAGGGGCTCCACTCTCGAACTTCAACCGAAGTTGCTCCACTACCTTCACATTGCCATTCACCCTAAAAAGGCCTTCCTGAGTGAGTCCTGAAACACCAAAGTAGAGATAAGGGAGTGTATCTCATAAATAGATGCAAACTCTAACAAGCTTGTTCTAATATGAGAACAACAAAATTAATAAATCTCAGTATAGGATTTTCTTAATATAATAATTATCAGATTGGAAAAAATTTTTTATAAAAGTGTTTTCTTAGAATAATAATTTTTCATATCTACTACATATCAACTAAAAGGATCACATACAATTGTTATTAAACCCCTATAAGATATTGTTTATATATAAAAATGAACATACCCTGCTATACAAAAAAATTCTCTTCACACAATACACAGTATATGATAGAAGCTTCCCCTGGCCTTCCAGAGCAGTTTAGCATTTCAAGAACTGTTTTTAAAAATAACATGAATGTAAAAAATTTCTGAACTACATGATTGACTTCACAATAATTTAATTAAGAAGCAAGCAATATTTCTTTTAGTAATCACTAAATTCAAAGTCTAAGACTATGAGACTATAAAGAGATAGAATAGCAAGTCCTGCCTTCAGTCACTTGGTGAAGGATATCAGTTTTGGCTGTGTCAGCAGAGAGGGCTTCATGGAGTGCCTTTGGCTCTTCTGTAAAATCTTTGGTAAAGCATAGGCAAGATGCAAAGGCCGGGACTGATGCACTCTGACACTAATCTCTTAAGTTTCAGGGCCCCCCCTCATTTGTTTGAGTTCTTTCCCATGCTGTTCCTAATTCTGTATTCATAATTTTGTATTTTTTTTAAAAAAAATATTTATTTATGCATACAAGAGCTAGGGGGTAGGTCAAAGATGGGGGAGTGAGAGGATTCACTAGAAACAGAGTGGAGAGCAGAACAGCAGATCTACTGAAATACAGTGCTGAGAGGAACAGCAAGGGAGACAAGAGAGGTCTGCTGCACCACATAGGTAGCTCCCTGGCCAGGGATGGAACTCATGCTGCAGTGGCTGGTGACAGCTTCATAGTCCTGAGACTTTAGCCCCTGTGCCACCAGGGAGGCACTGTATTCTTATTCTTAAAGAAGCTCTCAAAAGCTTTAAACATTACAGCCCACACAACCTAGATCTATCTACCCCTGACATGAATTGAGAAGCAGAGATAAGACAGCATAAAGGAAGGAAGGCAGACAAAAATGTGAAATATTTAGATCCTACAGCAATGGGGTGACAAAATGGTAGAAATAGGATAGGGCCATGAATGTCAAATTAAAGAGTGAAAACTTTACCATTAAAGCATTAAGAGGGGGCAAAGATACAATGTACTGAGGTTTAAGGAGGACCCAGTTAGTTAAGAATTAGGGGACGGAGAAGGCAGAGAGCTTGCTTTCAGTAGACTACATTCCACTGAAAGGCACTACCACAGAGATTATGGTGGAAAAGAAAGAAGAGGGAGAATAAAGATGATTTGGTTACTTAGTGAAAAAGGGACATAAAAAAGAAGAAGGGTTTAAAGGTAACTTTAAAAACTAGGAGTCCAGAAAAAAAGCACTATAGAAGGTAAGGTGAATAGGAGTGGAGGGAAGTTAGTTTAGGATAGAAAATGGTTTCCAGCTCAGTTGCTGGGTTCAAGGAGACTGAACACCATGTAATCAAGTCAGGCATGCAGGGATTTTGAAGGCATAAAAAAAAATCTTTCTAAGAAAGAGTAATCTTAGAACTCAACTCACCCCTCTTTTGAGGGTCTAATGATGAGCCTAATGCAATAATAAAAGCATTGAAGCCTATTAGAATTTTTTTATATGGGAGGTGTTTGTTTATATTTGTGCTTGGCTCTTTTTTTTTAATATTTTAAGAAACTGTTCTTTCTTAAGAAAAAGAAGGAAGTAATCTCATTTTTTAAAAAATTCAGCTTTAAATTTCATTTTATTTTGTAGTTTGAAAAATATTTTATGAATCCTTTAATTTAAAAAATATTTTCTGAATACCTGGCACTGTTAAGATACAAAAAAATCAAATGTGAGACACAAATTCAAACACTACCATTATCTTCACTGATAATGCAGTCTGATAAAAAGTTTATATTCTTTCACATATACATACTCTGGTTGTGGAAGAATGTTACCAAAAGTTGGGATGAATATTAGCTCCAATTTTACCAAAAATTATCTGTGAAAACTGGAATATTAGATGGCCAGGGTGCCAACTAATCAGAGGAGAGATACCAATCAGAAGGTGTGGAAGGCAGATTCTCAAACAGTCCCAAGGATTCCCATGTCTTGGTGACCATATCTGTGTATAATCCCATACGAAGTATGGGCTGGACTTAGTGGCTACCTTCTAAGCAAGAGAATACAGTAAAATGATGGGATTATGTTACAAAAGACTGATATCCATCTTACTTGTGTCCCCTCATCCCCTACACCTTGCTCTTTGCTTGATCACTTTGATGAATTTACTGCTATTTACATTGGTTGCCTCTTTGTGGAGTTGTTCACGTAGCAAGGAACAAAAAGCAGTTTCTGGTCAAAGTCACAGAGTAATTGAGACCCTCAAGTCAACAGTGTGCAAGGAACTGAATCTTGCCAACAACCACATGAGTAAGCTTAGTCATGAACCTTTGCCCAGTCACATCATGAACCTTTGCCCAGTCACATCCTGATATGACTGGAGTCTAAGTCAACACTCCGATTGTTGCCTTTTAAAAGACCCTCAGGCAGAAGACACAACTATGCTATGCCCAGAGGCCAGACCCAGAGATAATACTGTTGCTTTAATCTACTATGCTTTGGGGTGATTTGCTGTGCAGCAACAGGTAACAAGTTTGACATATGGAATCCCTTCATAATGCAGAATACCAGCTAACCCTGATAGGCTTCAGCTTAGTCATTGCCAAAGCTTTCCAAGTCTTTTTCCTCTACTTTACAAAGCTTTAAGTGATTCAGCAAGGTATACTGACATCAAGAACTTAGCATCCAATAAAAGAGAATCCTATACCTGAACAAGGCCCAAATTCTGAAAATTCAGAATTTTGCATATTATTCCCATATTTACCCAAGCTTTGAGCCCATTTTTGGGTCAACAAATGCTCCTTATATCTGACTTCACAATGTTTTTTCTAACTTTGACCTTAAATTTTCTTCTCCACAAGGTTTTTCGAATCCTCCCTCAAATAAATATATTCCCAGTTATTCTAAAATAACCACCCAGTTCCAAGAACTGGCTTTGATCTTCAAGGTTCCTGATGCTACCAGGACTCACTAGTGGAGAGGTAAGATATATAACTAGATATTGATGTTAATGCCTCTCAATCATATTTTTCTGCTCCTACTCCACTTAATAGCACAACTCTCTTCCCTCAATAGCATCTCTCACCCAAACTACTCTTAAGGTTTTCAAGCAAAGGAAAATTTACCCTGCATGTGGAAGTATTACACTTTGATGAAAAGAATCCATACAGCTCTTAAAAGCACCTAAAAACTTATATCCAATACCCATATGAAGCTTACCAGAGTTAACCAGCTTACCAGTACAATCTGTTTTTCTACCCTAATTTTTTTAGGAAATTATGATTATGACAGAAATGTTCAGATGAAGGAGAGACTTAGAAGACTTTTTGAGGCTGTAATATTTAACTATACTAATGCATATTTTTGAGATTCTACTTAGTTTCAAGAGATAAAGGTTTAATCATCATGAAACAGCAATTTAACAGTGATCAATAAATAAAAGAAATAAAAAAATTATATACACTAAATAATGTCAACAGGTACTTTTTGTAGACTTAAAATATTTATTTTTTAATACTATGGCTAAATCACTTGAAACCAAATACGCCAGAAGTCAGAATTAGCCTACCTGGCAGTTTGGCCCAGAGAACAATAACATCGCATAAGTGCCTGCTGACACCTGGTGGTGGTTTGAGGATCCTGCCCTATTGAAACAGCATAACAATGTCCACGCTAACTTAAGAAAAGGAATCCAGTTAACATGGCTAGTAATATTACTTATTTAACAAACTTTCCTATCATTTTTATGAGTAATAGTTGAATTTTAATTTTTCATATCATGCTATTGTCTCAGCAATAAATAATCTGCAAAGTATTATTGTATTCATTGACATTGTAAGAAAACCATACATATTGGGTTTTTGTGACTAATTTGTACTTTTCCACAGGAACTCTTTGACTTACTACTATTTGGGGGATTTTGAGTAATGAAATTGAATAAAGGAAAAATAGCACAATAATATGCCTCATGATTTATATTTTCCTTTGAGGGGAAAAATGCATCTTAATTTTTTTTAAAGGAAAAAAGTTAAAAGGCATTGAGAAATCCTTTCTGTCCAAAAATTCTTTAATAATAAAATTTTTCCTTCACATCAACTTGATAAATGTCTACATTTACTTTATTTATTTTTTATTTTTTTTTTAAATTTATTTATTTATACAAGAACTGGGGTACAGACCAGATGCACGGGACGGTGAGAGGATTCACCAGAGACAGAGCAGGGAACAGAACAGGCAGACTGATGAAATACACTGCTGAGGGGAGCAGCAGGGGCGACAGGAGACGTCTGCTGCGCCATGTGGGACCCTCGCAGGCCAGCTGGGATTGAACCTGCGCTGCAGAGGCTGCGGATAGCTTCACAGCACGGGGCTTAACTGCCTGTGCCACCAGGGGAGGCCCTCTACATTTACTTTATTTATTTTTTTTAAAGATTTATTTATTTCTTTATACAAGCATTGGGTACAGTCAGAAGCACAGGAGGGTGAGAGAAGTCACCAGGGCCAGAGCGGGGAACAGAACAGACAGACTGATGAAATACACTGCTGAGGGGAGCAGTGGGGCGGCAGTAGAGGTCTGCGTGCCATTGGGACCCTCGCAAGGAGAGGTCTGCATGCCACCTCTACATTTACTTTAAACAACAATAAAATACAAACACAATATTTATCTATGGTTAAGTTATATGATCAATAATTCCTCTTATCCATACTTGAAAGAGTGCTTAGTGCATCATGAGTATACAACAAATACTTGTTGATGCCACAAAACTACAAAATAATGAAATAAAACTAACTGAGGTATCTTCAAACTTCATACCACCCTTCAAATTTACATAGGCTCTTTGGCTTACTAACATAATCTTTTTGAATACAATAAGAGACATCTAATTGTCAACATAGTAATTAACAATGCAATCTTTCAAAAATAATGTATGTGCCCTAGCCTAGCTTGCCAAGTTTAGATTCTGATTCATTGACTCTGGGGTATCACCAATGCATAGGTGTCTGAGAAGATTCCACTAGTGATTCTATCATATCCTTAGTTAAGAATTAAATAAATTAAAATATAAATGATTTTACATAGAGAATAAACTCAAGAGGCTATTATTCTATCATTATTGGGGGAAAGATAAAAATATTACATTAGGTGGTTACACTCTGACATCCAAGTGCATAATACCAAACAAGTCTATTGAACAGGTTAAATGAATTACCAAGAGATCCATTTGTATCCAAATTAGTAAGATAGAGTTTTACTTAATATCAACTGTGTAAATGAGTCCTGTCAAAGCTCTAATAACCTCAAGATTTTGTAGATCAAGGTTCCATATTTCTTCCATATCATAGTATGTATTAATACTTTTTGTGTCTGTTTAAAGGATCTGAAAAAACAGATATTTTCCAAGAATCTCACCCTTCTAAAGGTTATTTCCTCTAAAAAATAATAATTCCTAGGAGATAAGAATGCAAGGCTTCAATTTTTAGAACAAAATACCAGTTTACCATCTACACACCTAGTAACCAGAGCAAATAGATATATATTTTTTTAATTAACAAGACATCTGACCTTCTGAGGTCTAAATTGTCTGTTAAATACTTCCATAGAGGAACAGATACACTGTACCTCTTATTATTTCCAATGGAGGATTCTTCTTGCAGTGGGAATAGACTTGTGGGGAGACAAGGGGCTAAAACAAAATGCAAAAGTACAGAATTTTCTTGAAGCATCAAGATTTACCTTTAAAAATTTCCAAATGTTATATTCTGTACTGTAATGAGTTTTTCAGTCTTGTTTAAGTATATAGATACTATTTTTATATAGGAAATGATGGGCATTCTAAATTTTTCTCTCAGAATATCTCTCTCCCAAATCCTGAATAGTCTGTTGGAGCTTATTATAGCAACTTAATGCTCTCCTATCATACTGCCGAGTTTGAAAAGTATGAGTGTTGGGCACAAGGAAGCACTGTCTCAAATAATCTAGATTTTAAAGTTCTATTTTAAATAAAGTAAAAAAAAAAGGCATAAAGAACATAGCTCTCAATAATGAAGAGATTAAAATTTATCTTTTTATCATGCAATATATTATTAGTCTATAGTTCATTTTACATGCTTAATTTTATCACTCAAAGTAAATGAGACCCCAATCAAGGAGGCTATCTATCAAATTTTGGGGGGTACTTCCCTACTGTACTTAAAGGAAATCAAGACATCCAATAAGTACATGATTGGCCCCAGATGAAAGAGCTATCGGAAAAGTGTTTTAGGACATTATATATTATGAACCACCAGTTAGAATTTAATGAATCAAGAGAACACACTATTAACATTAGAATAGTGTATTTTAGCACTTAAAGATAGGAATCATTTCAAACTAGAAAACCTCACTAATGAAAGTGATTGCTTCATGGTAAATTGAATATGATGATATTAATGTCCTGTGTATGTTACACAGGACAATCTAATTAAGGTATTTTAGATTTATGAAGCAAATTATGAAGCAATTCATACAAAAATTCTTTTGTATGGAAGAACTGTTAACAACAAATTAAAAGATGCATTGGCTTACCATGTCTTGTCAAGTACTCCACTATGTTCCCCACTACAGTTGGAACGCCATTCTCAGTGAGTCCCTGCTGGTGAAGGTCTTGCAGACTGACTCCAAAGAACCTTTTACAGGTAAGACTCCTCTGCTCATCTAGTGGCACTGCCACTATCTTTTTCATGTCTTCTTTCAGCCGAACTGCTGCTTTACTTTGCTTAAAAGAGTTTAAGAAAAAAGAGCAGTCAGTCATATTTACCACAGGAGGTTGCATGGTTACAACAGAAACACCTGAATAAAAATGCAAATGTTTGAAGATATATAAGGAGTGGGCTTCACTTATTTTTCCTTCAATTCAAATCACAATCTCTTAACTTCTCTCATGTGCTGTTCAGGACCGATGCACACTGATAGAATGGTTCAAAGGAGTGAAAAATAACGAGAAATCTGAAACCATAACTTATCTGTAGCTAAGAGAGGGAGCAATACAGTGCAGTATCTAAGATATATTACTACAGCAACCAGGGGTGTGACTCAGAAGTACCTGGTTAACAGGAAAATAAAACATTTCTAAGAATGCTGAAACCCCATGCTCATCCTGAAACAATAAGATGTTTTGTAAGATGAAAATTAATCTATAGTCATTTTAAGATAGCTTACATTGGAATGTAGGGGAAAATATATAAATATAGAGTGAACACTTCGTTCTATGATTTGATTACATTTGTGAACATCTCAGTAATATCTTGGCACATAAATCAAGTCAATTCCCACTGAGGTTCAAAATGCTCTCTCTCTCTGAAACAGTAATATTTCAGGTAGTCTTGATTTAAAATTTTTCAGCAAGACTGTATATAATAGAAATTTAACATATTCAAGTAATTCAAATTATCACAATATAAAGCTTATGCAAATTTATTTCCTTTTTACAGAAATGTATACCTCAAGGAAGTTTAAAAAAGATAAATTTTAATATGGTCTAACATAGCTAAACAATTTTCTTTTTAAAGCATGTATCCAACATAAACACTATATATCTCTAAGTCTAAACAAGGAAAAGATGGCAAAATATAATTTATTTGGGAAACAGGTGGTGGCTCAGAGAAAATTTTCACTTTTTGAGAATGAACATAGCAACTAGCATCTTACCAAAGAGCAAGCTCAAGGAGTCTTGTATTTGTATTTAAGTACAAGTTCATGTAGTGTTACAATCTGAAAGTATTAGATTTCTCTGGTTTAGAACTAAGGAAACAAAGGCAAGATTTAAGTAATTTGGCAAAAGTCACAGAAGTGGTAAGAGATGGCTTCATGCTACTCTTAAGCCCGTGATTCACTCCTTAATTTACAGTTATATATAATGTTATAGTACAGTATGGCAAAATTATAGTAACAAAACTTTAAAAAATGTTATATGTGATCCAAGACAAACAAATTTAACTCTACATTCTTGGCTTTGAGTAGGAAGCCTGTAATTGCAATTTGATTTTAAATCTTTAGAGTCTATAGACTCAGATCAACTTTCACTGAATTTTTTGCATTTCAATGAAATGAAAAACTTCAGCAAATGTAACATTACAATATAGACTTATTATCTATTAGTATTATAGAATAAGGCATAGTGTCAGTTACATTAGAGCAGTACTATGGGCAAGAATTATAATCTCTGTCAACAATGAAATTACTAAGTCAAATTTGTAACAGCTAATAAGTTTTGATTGCCAGCGTAAAAACATCAATTTACTTCAGTTGAGGAGACTGAAACTTCTAGTCAACCAGTAAGCACCTAAAATATAGCCAGTAACAATGAAACTTGAAATGTTTCAAATGTACATTAAAGCCAGCTAACAATATGAGATTAAATTAAACAAGTTTTATTTTACTTTTATATTATTTTCTTAAAGTTCAGAGTTTTATGCATAGACTGTGGAACCAGACTCCCTGTTTTGAATCCCATTCTAATCTAATAAGCTGTGAATCTTGGATAGCTCATTTAACTTCCCTGTTTCTCAGTTTCCCCATATATGAAATGGGGATAGTCAGAGTTTTTAATCTTTTCTTTAAAATTAATCACATATCTTCATTTTATATCCTTGTTTGCTTTTTCTCAATACAGGATTTCTCCCCTCAGGTGTGGTTACCATAGTTTTCCCACCACCAAAGTATGCATCATAGTCCACTGTGCTCTCTCCTCCCAGCCTTGGATCTTCCTTCCCCTTCTCGTCCCCTCTCCCCCTCCCCTCCTGGATATCTCACATCTATGGTCAGATGTGAGGTTGGTTTAAAGCCTGAGTTTTTATCTTATAGAAACATATGAAGTTGAAATGATTTCATGTACATAGGAATAAGAACAGTCCCTATCCTCATCACTAACTTTCTTCTAGGGAATTATTCTAATTTCTCAAAACAAAATGGATATTTAACCGTTTCTGTATTCAAGCTATATGTATGAAAAAAGTTGCTATTGAAGTAGACACCATGGTTAAGACATGTTTGGTTGGTAGGTAGTCTGATAGTCTAATAATCCATATATCTCTTACTAAATAAAATATGTAAGTGTGACTTTTGAATGACTAAAGATAAAATAATCTTGTTTAAAATGGATAAAGAGGGTCAAAAGCATGTGTCCTATTAAATATTATCTGTATACAAGTCTAAATACTGGAAAAGGAGGGCAAAATGGGTAAAGGAGGTCAAAATATATGAACTTTCTTTTATAAATTAAATGTTAAAAAATGTAATAGTTTGTATATAAGAATCCCTCAAGTTTTTGTTAAAATTTCTCAAGGTTTTCTCATTCATTCTTTCCATACGTGAGTTTAAAACCTTGAATTTATTTCTCTCCACTAATAGCCCTTTTCCTATTAGAAAACAGACAGCATGTTGTAAATCCTCTTAACAAGCAGTGTAAACAAGCAATCTTGACATTATAGCTCACAAAGTTTATAAGTAAGAGATGCAATTAACCTCAGATTTTGAAGTGATTGCAAATCAAGCAACTTGTTTACATCATGTAGAACTATACTACATAGCAACCATTTCTGGGTCTTCTCCCTTCTCTCCGACCTCCTCCTCAACCCCACTAAGGTCAGGCCGAGTGGCAAAATAATGCTAACACAGGAATCAGCAGTGAAAATTAACAGCTTTTGGCTGAATTGGAAGATAGGGGAAAAAACCCAATATCTAATGGGATATATATTTGATAAAGGACTTATGTTTAGTACATATAAAAAGAACTACAAGTTATTAAGAACCCATGATACAATAAAGAAATGAACAAAGATAAGAACAGATACTTAACCAAAGACGACATAGAAATGGAAGTAAAATATCTATTATGCATATGAAAATATGATCAACATAAATCATTAAGAAATTGAAATAGAGGATGTTACCAGTATAGCAACAGAGAGCTTCTCTCCCAAGAACAGCAACTTACAATTAACCAGAGGGATAGGACACCAAGAGAGTCCTGCAACTCAAGGTGGGTACACTTACAACTCAGAAAACAACACAGACTTCACCAGAAGGAAAACAGTAGAGGTGGACAATTCAATCAACAGAAGGTGGGTGGAAAGAAACACTTAGAGTCTGAGTCTAGGATGGGGAATACAAACAGCCAAACTATCCATGATGGTGATAAGAGCAGAGAGGGTGTGAAAACACATGCTCTTGATCCAGGTGAAGCTCATATGAATGAGCTTTGTTGGTCAACACAGGTCAGGACCCCAGTAAGGAGGACAGAAAGGTGCTGTGGACTACACTTTCTCCTCCACCACTCAAGACTTTCTGACCCCCTGGAGTGCACTAACTGTGTAAAAGTTGCCAACTCTCAGGTCTGGAACCACAGAGAGAGGAGATATTGATGATACCACAAACACAAGCCAGTCCCTCTCCCAGCATATTCCCAACAGTGACTGGACCCCTCCTGCTGACACAGCAACTGCAAATGCAGGCCTTGTGCAAAAGCCAGTGTTGGGCAAAGAAAATCAAATCAAATCAAAGCATCACCTGCTGTAAAAGTAAAAGTAGTTAAACTCTCCATGTTGCTGAACCAAATTAAAAAAAAAAAGAAATTTAAAGTAGCAAAATGAGCAAAAAATAACATAAGGAAACTTGATATCTTGAAGAAAGAAAAACTCTCCAGAATCCAATTACAAAGACACAGGGGAATATATCTTCCTATTATAGAGTTCAAAATTGCTATAATAAAGAAACTTAATGAGAAGAAAATTCAAAAAGATAAGTCAAAATGACACAAGAGAATTCAGAAAAGTTAACCAGAGGTACCATCAGAAAAGTAAACCAGAGGTACAAAAACAAAAAAAACAAAAAAAAACTCAGAAAAATTAATGAACACAAAGAGAAAATTAATCAGAAGGAGAAATCAAATCTTAAACAAGAAAATTACACATCTAGGACATGAAAAACTCAATAAATGAGATCAAGAGATGTGAAGAAGCCTTGAAAGGAAAATAAATCAAATGGAGAAAGAATAAGTGAGCTCAAAGATAATAAATTACAAATGATTTAAGTGGAAGAATAGAGAAATAAGAAAAAAAATGAACACACACTGCCAGAACTATATGAGTCCATTAGAAAAGGTAACAAAAGATAATGGATTGTCCCAGAAAAAGGAGAGAAAGATAGAAAGCTTATACAATGAGGATACTTCCTAGACCTTGAGCAGGAACTGAATTTACAAGTCCAATAAGCTAAGAGGATACCTGTATACGCAAAGGGACCTACACTGAGACATACAGTAGTATAAACATGAAGAGTTCAAGATGTAGAAAGACTATTGAACACAGTCAAGGGGAAAAGCACAAAACCAGTAAAGGTACTCCCAAACCATCCCATCACATCATACTTCTGAACAGAAACTCTACAGTGCAGGATAGAATAGAGTGACATCATCAACATACTCAAAGATCAGATCTACCAATCAAGAATACTATATTCTGCAATGCTCTCTTTCAACATGAGAATACTCTCCCCTCAAACATGAGGGGAAAAGAAAGACCTTCACAGACAAACAAAAGATGGAGTTTGGCAGTAACAGACCTCCACTACAAGAAATGTTGAAAAGAGTTCTATCTACACTTAAAATAAGAAAGTTAATAAAAAATGAAAAGGGCTTGGATTAAAGACAAAATGGCAATAGCAACCCTGACAGACCAATAATCAGCCTTAATGTAAATGGGTTGAACTCACCAATCA